GGTTCCTGCTGGCGGGTCTTTTAGGGTTCCTGCTGGCGGGGTGCCTTTGAGAGGCCACGGATTTAGGTCTAGGATTTAGGTTCAGGATTTAGGTTCGGTTTAGGTTTAGGATTTAGGCTTAGGGTTTTTAGATATAGGAGTTTAGGTTTAGGGTTTAGGTTTCGGATTTCGGCTTAGGATTTTAGGTTTAGTTAGGTTTATAGTTTTTAGGTTTGGACACATTTTGGCTCAAATGTAAAGAAGTTCCCATTTGGAGCTCCAAAAGCGACATTTTGGAGCCGGCCATGGAAATGGCAAGTCTCTTGGCTCAAATGCAAAGAATTTGTGATTTGGAGCTCCAAAAGCGACATTTTGGAGCTGGCCCTGGAAATGACCGTTCTTTACTAGAGTTTATATAAAAATAACACATTTGTGCTGAAACGGAGAGAGTTCGCCATTTGGAGCTCCAAAAGGAACATTTTGGGCCTGGCCTGGAAATTGACGGGCACTAAACGAGCACTAGACGAGCACTAGACAAGCACTAGTGCTTGTCTAGTGCTCGTCTGGCGCTCGTCTAGCGCTCGTCTAGCGCTCGTCTAGTGCTCCATCTAGCGCTCGTCCAGTGCTGCGTCCAGCGCCCGTCTCTCTTCTATCCCCGGAAATTTTCCGGAAATTTCCGGCGTTGCGCCCTCCCTGGAGCCTCTTGTCTAGTGCTTGTCTAGTGCTCGTCTGGCGCTCGTCTCGCGCTCGTCTAGCGCTCGTCTAGTGCTCCATCTAGTGCTCGTCTAGTGCTCCGTCCAGCGCCCGTCTAGAGCTCTTCTATCCCCGGAAATTTTCCGGGAATTTCCGGGGTTGTGCCCTCCCTAGAGCCTTCTGGCGCTCCCAGCGCTCGTCCAGTGCCCGTCTAGTGCTCGTCTAGTGCTCCTCTAGTGCCCGTCTAGTGCTCGTCTAGCGCCCGTCTAGCGCTCTAGCGCTCTAGTGCCCGTCTAGTGCTTGTCTAGTGTTCGTCTAGTGCTCGTCTAGTGCCCGTCTAGTGCTCGTCTAGTGCCCGTCTAGTGCTCGTCCAGTGCCCGTCTAGCGCTCGTCTAGTGCCAGTCTAGTGCTCGTCTAGTGCCCGTCTAGTGCTCGTCTAGTGCCCGTCTAGTGCTCGTCTAGTGCCAGTCTAGTGCTCGTCTAGTGCCCGTCTAGCGCTCGTCTAGCGCCCGTCTAGTGCTCGTCTAGTGCCCGTCTAGCGCTCGTCTAGTGCCCGTCTAGCGCTCGTCTCGTCTGGTGCCCGTCTAGTGCTCGTCCAGTGCCCGTCCAGTGCTCGTCTAGTGCTTGTCTAGTGCTCGTCAAATGCTCGTCCCCGTCTAGTGCTCATTACTGCTCGTCTAGTGCTCGTCTAGTGCCCGTCTAGTGTTCGTCTAGTGCTCGTCTAGTGCTCGCCTAGTGCCCGTCTGGTGCTCGTCTAGTGCCCGTCTAGTGCTCGTCTAGCGCCCGTCTAGTGCTCGTCTAGTGCTCGTCTAGTGCTCTGTCTAGTGTCTAGTTCTCGTCTAGCGCTCGTCCAGCGCTCGTCTAATTCCCGTCTAGTGCTCGTCTAGCGCTCGTCTGGCGCTCGTCTGTGCCCGTCTAGCGCTCGTCTAGTGCCCGTCTAGTGCTCGTCTAGTGCCCGTCTAGCGCTCTAGTGGTCTAGTGCCCGTCTGGTGCTCGTCTAGTGCTTGTCTAGTGCCCGTCTAGTGCTCGTCTAGTGCTCGTCTAGCGCTCGTCTAGCCCGTCTAGTGCTCGTCTAGTGCTCGTCTCGTGCCCGTCTAGTGCTCGTCTAGTGCCCGTCTAGCGCTCGTCTAGTGCCCCAGTGCTCGTCTAGTGCCCGTCTGGTGCTCGTCTAGTGCCCGTCTAGTGCTTGTCTAGTGCTCGTCCAATGCCCTGTTTAGTGTCTCGTTCTCGTCTAGTGCCCGTCTAGTGCCCGTCTAGCGCTCGTCTAGTGCTCGTCTAGTGCTCGCCTAGTGCTCGTCTAGCGCCCGTCCAGCGCTCGTCCAGTGCTCGTCTAGTGCTCGTCTAGTGCCCGTCTAGTGCTCGTCTAGCTCTTCTATCCCGGAAATAACCGGACCGGGGTTGTGCCCTCCCTATAGAGCCTTCTGGCGCTCGTCCAGTGCTCGTCCAGCGCTCGTCTAGTGCTCGTCTAGTGCTCCTCTAGCGCTCGTCTAGCGCCCGTCCAATGCTCGTCTGTGCTCGTCTAGTGCCCGTCTAGTGCCCGTCTAGTGCTCGTCTAGCGCCCGTCTGCTCGTCTAGTGCCCGTCTGGCGCTGGTCTAGCGCCCGTCTAGTGCTCGTCTAGTTCGTCTAGTGCCCGTCTAGTGCTCGTCTAGTGCCCGTCTAGTGCTTGTCTAGTGCCCGTCTAGTGCTCGTCTAGCGCCCGTCTAGCGCTCGTCTAGTGCCCGTCTAGTGCTCGTCTAGTGCCCGTCTGGTTTAGGATTTAGTGTAGGATTTAGGCTTAGGGTTTTTAGGTTTAGGATTTAGGTTTAGGGTTGGCGCCTTTTAGTGTTCCTGCTGGCGGGATTCCTTTTAGGGTTCCTGCTGGGGGATGTCTTTCCGGGTTCCTGCTGGCGGGGCGCCGTTTAGGGTTCCTGCTGGCGGGTCTTTTAAGGTTCCTGCTGGCGGGGTGCCTTTGAGAGGCCACGGATTTAGGTCTAGGATTTAGGCTCAGGATTTAGGTTCGGTTTAGGTTTAGGATTTAGGCTTAGGGTTTTTAGAATAGGAGTTTAGGTTTAGGGTTTAGGTTTCGGATTTAGGCTTAGGATTTTAGGTTTAGGATTTAGGTTTATAGTTTTTAGGTTTAGGATTCAGGGCACATTTTGGCTCAAATGTAGAGAAGTTCCCATTTGGAGCTCCAAAAGCAACATTTTTGGAGCCGGCCATGGAAATGGCAAGTCTCTTGGCTCAAATGCAAAGAATTTGTGATTTGGAGCTCCAAAACCATTTTGGAGCTGGCCCTGGAAATGACCGTTCTTTACTCGAGTTTATAGCTAAAACGAAAAGAGTTCGCCATTTGGAGCTCCAAAAGGAACATTTTTGGGCCTGGCCTGGAAATTGACGGGCACTAAACGAGCACTAGACGAGCACTAGACAAGCACTAGTGCTTGTCTAGTGCTCGTCTGGTGCTCGTCTAGCGCTCGTCTAGCGCCTATCCCCGGAAATTTCGGAAATTTCCGAAATTGTGCCCTCCCTAGAGCCTCTTGTCTAGTGCTTGTCTAGTGCTCGTCTGCTGGTCTAGCGCTCGTCTAGCGCTCGTCTAGTGCTCCATCTGGTGCTCGTCCAGTGCTCCGTCCAGCGCCCGTCTAGTGCCTCTTCTATCCCCACTCCCTAGAGCCTTCTGGCGCTCGTCCAGTAGTGCTCGTCCAGTGCTCGTCTAGAGCTCGTCTAGTGCTCCTCTAGCGCTCGTCTAGCGCCCGTCCAATGCTCGTCTGTGCTCGTCTAGTGCCCGTCTCGTGCTCGTCTAGTGCCCGTCTAGTGCTCCGTCTAGCGCTCTAGTGCCCGTCTAGTGCTCGTCTAGTGCCCGTCTAGCGCTCTGTCTAGTGTCTAGTTCTCGTCTAGTGCTCGTCCAGTGCTCGTCTAGTTCCCGTCTAGTGCTCGTCTAGCGCCCGTCTGGTGCTCGTCTGTGCCCGTCTAGCTGCTCGTCTAGTGCCCGTCTAGTGTCCAGTGCCCGTCCAGTGCTCGTCTGGTGCCCGTCTAGTGCTCGTCCAGTGCTCGTCTAGTGCTCGCCCAGTGCCCGTAGTGCCCGTCTAGTGCTCGTCTCGCGCTCGTCTAGCGCCCGTCTAGTGCTCGTCTAGTGCTCGTCTAGTGTAGTGCTTGTCTAGTGCTCGCCTAGTGCTCGTCTAGTGCCCGTCTAGTGCTCGTCTAGTGCCCGTCTAGCGCTCGTCTAGCGCCCTAGTGCTAGCGCCCGTCTAGCGCTCGTCTAGTGCCCGTCTAGTGCTCGTCTAGTGCTTTGTCTAGTGTCTCGTTCTCGTCTAGTGCTCGTCTAGTGCCCGTCTAGTGCTCGTCTAGTGCCCGTCTAGTGCTTGTCTAGTGCTCGTCTAGCGCTCGTCTAGTGCTCGTCTAGTGCCCGTCTAGTGCTCGTCTAGTGCTCGTCTATAGTGCTCGTCTAGTGCCGTCTAGTTCTCGTCTAGTGCATGTCTAGTGCTCGTCTAGTGCCCGTCTAGTGCTCGTCTAGTGCTCGTCTAGTGCTCGTCTAGTGCCCGTCTAGCGCTCGTCTAATGCCCGTCTAGTGCTCGTCTAGTGCCCGTCTAGTGCTCGTCTAGTGCCCGTCTAGTGCTCGTCTAGTGCCCGTCTAGCGCTCGTCTAGTGCTCGTCTAGTGCCCGTCTAGTGCTCGTCTAGTGCTCGTCTAGCGCTCTGTCTAGTGTCTAGTTCTCGTCTAGCGCTCGTCCAGTGCTCGTCTAGTTCCCGTCTAGCGCTCGTCTAGCGCCCGTCTGGTGCTCGTCTGTGCCCGTCTAGCGCTCGTCTAGTGCCCGTCTAGTGCCCGTCTAGCGCCCGTCTAATGCTCGTCTGGTGCCCGTCTAGTGCTCGTCTAGTGCCCGTCTAGCGCTCGTCTAGCGCCCGTCTAGCGCTCGTCTAGTGCCCGTCTAGTCTAGTGCTCGTCTAGTGCCCGTCTAGTGCCCGTCTAGTGCTCGTCTAGTGCTCGTCTGTGCGTCTAGTGCCCGTCTAGCGCTCGTCTAGTGCCCGCTGAGAAGCGGCTGCTTCGGCACTGAAAGCAGAAAAAGCAACCAAAACGGCGCCAAAACAGAAAAAGCAACCGCCTGCCTACTTATGCCTAACATGGACCCCCCCCTCAGCCATTCTTGCCGCCAAATGTTCCTGCAGGAGAAAGCGCTCAATCGGTAACATCTGACCCCGGATTAAAGCGGGGTGTTCCCCTCCAAAAAGTGATAAACCCCCACTTCGCAGGGGACACCCCCGAATCAAACAGCTACGGGTTCTCCCATCAACATGGAACCCATCTCCTGGGGACGGGGACCGGAATCGAAAAAGGCACATTGACTCGTTCATGTTGCGTCTCCTTGGGCATCTCTTGGTCCGTATTGGAGAAAAACCTGAGACGCGCAACCAAAAGGCAACGTCGGTGTTTCAAGCAAACATGGGTCTCTCTCTCTCTCTCTCTCTCCCGTTGCGTCCAGAGGGTCTTGACTCAGCAAGGCAACGAAAAAGGTGCCCCCTGATATTCAGGGGCACCAACAACATACTAGGACACCCCGGGCAAACATGTATATGGATATGGATTTTGTACGCAGTGAAGGCAAACATCCTGGCTTTTTCTTGGGTCCAAGAACGCCACAGAAACATCCAAAAGCTCCAATCAGGTTTGAAGGGGTCTTACGAGGGCGGCATGCGTTTCTGCTCACAGCCGCTGTTGGGATTTTTTGTCAGGTAACCACTGGATTGGCGCTTTAACTGCTGATTCTTGTGCTAGGTAAACGGGAAACACTTAAGGGGAAGCTGATTTTGGGCAACAGTGCATCACACCAAACCTGATGAGGCGTGCCAATGGTTAGGGGGAGCGACGGCAACAACCTGTGATGCAGATGGCAAACCTGCTTGCGCTGTTTGGGGCCAAGCCAGGCATGCGAGGGCTGACTGTAAACGTCCAAAACGCCCAGAATGCCGCAACTATGCTGGCTCCCTTAGGGGTCTTGGGGGGATGGGGCAGGTTTCCTCTGTCAACTAATATTGACTGACTAAATTAGTTCGCTCATTTACCTCAGCATTTGCCCTCAAAACAATATGCATAGATTATGGGCCACATTCAGCAAACTGCAAACACGGGTTACAAGGGACCGGCTACCTTTGGTGTATGTGTTCAACACTTTGCAGCGCCTAAAATGTTGGCTGGTGGAAGACAAGCGCTCACCCAGATCCAAGCAAATGGCAGCCAAGTGTCCCATTTACCCTCTACAAGATCCAGCGCTTCAAACCCCAAACCTCCAATCCAAACAACAAATTAAGGGTTGCCTGAAAACACCGACCTATGGCCACCCTGACGCATGTTGGCAGGTTGCAAGTTATGACCATGGTAAGGCAACTGCCCCCCAGTTCACCAAGGCCAACCAACGATACCTCATGTTACCATGGGTGGCACACAAAAAGGCGATTCAAGACCTTGTTCAAACCTAAAAAACCTTGAAAAAAACAGTCCTACTGTTGCTTGAAACGGGCAAACAACAGCTATTTGAAACGACCAATGCTGCAACCAGCCTCCTTTAAACCTTTGAACGACCTGCTCTTCATGGGGTGAAGAAGCCCCAAATAAGGCATTAAGTGCTTCTAGGTCCTCCAGTAGAGAGGTTAGAAAAAAGGGTGCCAACATTTTTATGTTGTCTATTTTAGTAAGGGAACTCTCCCCCCAAAAAAAAACGGTAAAAGGGCACCTAGCCGGGGGACCAAGATATCACCTCTATGCTCGCTTCCCGGGTGGATTGGCCAAACTGTCAAAACTGTTTATTTACCACTAACATGTGTTTTTAATATTTGTTCTCCAAAAGTCCAGGAACTCCAGAAGTGACCTAGGCTTGATCCACCCTCCCCTCCCCCCCCCCCCCCCTCCCTTCCCCCCCCCAGGGGAGGCCGTGATGCCCGAGGCTCAGGCCATCCGAACTGCAGCGCCTGCAGCGCGCGGGGCCGCTGCTCCGGGTCTTTGCCTCCGGGAAAAAACCACGGGGCCGCTCTCCGGACCGGCGAGGGAGAAACACCGGCGACTGGAGAAACCCCTTAAAACTCCAAGCCCTGGGGAAGTTAATCTTTTACAGACATATAGCCCATGTTACCCAAAAAGTTCAAAAGTTGTGTTTTTAAGAGGTAAGCTGGAGAAAACCCACGGGGGAAACCTAGAACCCCAGTCAGTCGGGGGAAGTCTTTGATACTCAGCTTCCCTCCAACTGGTGATTTTCTTTGATACTCAGCTTCCCTCTTGGTGATTTGGATTGGTGGTTTGGGGGTTGAGGAGGGGAGTTCCATGCATCCTCTACAAGAGCCACTGGTTCAAGTCCAAATTCAAACCAAGCCAAACCAACCCGACGGGTTACCGGAGATAAAGGGGTTTACTCACGTCCTGAGACTGGGCCAAGAAAAAAGGCCTGAACTTTCTATACTCAAATGGCTGTGGGTCAAAAATAGGTACCCAAAATGGAACCTTCCTGGTGGTTTAATTTTGACCCACACCCAAATGGTCCAAACCCAAATGGTCCAAACCCATTGGAACCCAAATGGTGCGCTCGGGTTTCCAGGGGCCTGGACTTCCCCGAAAGTTGGTCAATTTACTGGTGGCTTCCCTGGAAACCATCGCCATATCGCCATGGAGGTTCCAAACAGGGAAATGGATGAAACCCTGTTTAGACAGGTGGAGAATTAGATAATCATAATAATGATAACAGGGTTTAGTAAAGGAGAGACCTACCGGGGACAACGAAATAGTTAAAAGACGACTACTGATGATCTTGTCGGTTGCCATTTCTCCTGACATGGAAGCTGACACAGGATCAGAGCAAGAAGCCATGGGTACAACCGAGGAATTGGGGTTGGTCTCCTTATATAAGCATGGGCATCGCGTACTGAGCGGCCTTCCGGGTTTGGTTCAGCTTGCACCGGTTTCAGTCTGGCTCGGTTCCCCCAAACGTCCTCACGCTCTCGCGCGCGTCTTGAATTCTGGAAAGCATGGAGGCCCCCCGCTCACCACAAACGCGGGATGTACCTTGTGCAGCCGGCCGGGGGTTCACCCCCCGGCTATGACCAAACGATTGGACCGGAGAACTTGGCTGGAACTAGCACCCCGGCATAAAAATATGTTTTCCCGGATAGTGGAAAACAAAGGGAACCCCAAAAAATCCATAAAAAAATAAGAAAACAAAACGGGGGAAACAAAAAAAGAAAGAAAGAACTAATTCTGAGGAAGAGAAATGGGTGGCGCTTGACCGGAAGGGGTGGTTTCCTTGTGGCTTCCCGGTCACCAAAAGGTGTCCACCGGATTGCTGTATGATAAAGAGCCGAGCAGCGAAGCATCGCAGACACCAGCTCCGTCAACAGCCGCCTAAGCGCGGAGTGCAGGAGGTTGGGCGCGAATTGTCATGGGCTTCCTGTGCCAGACTTCATCTACGTGAGCCACAGTCAAAATACACTAACCCGCAATGGCCAGGAAGAATTGCAGCTCGTCCCCGAGATTTGCGCGGGAAAAATGGTGAGTCCACCTATGTCCCTCCCAAATGGACCATAAACTAATAGACTACTGGACATTTTGATGGGGAGGTTGGTCAACCTACCATCTTGCAGGGCCGTATCTGAAGGGAATGGCACGCCAGCACTCCATACCTCACCACTACAACAACGGCAATGGCATCACACCGTCGGGTCATTCGAGACTAACAAAGATTGCGTTTCAAAATGGCGAGCCCTCCTTCCTTTGCAAAATGGTCCCTCTGAAAAGCAAACGGGTTTGGGTCTCAACATGGGAACACGTTTCCCTTGCAGGGTTCTTTCCGTTTCCTTCAAAACACAAACAGGTGATGTCTAGGAAGCACCCAAAGCAGGAAAAGTATAGGGATCCCAGGCCTTTGGGTGTCTGAAGGGGACCTAAGGAACCAAGCTGGTCGCTTCCTGGCTCCCTTAAAACTGGTTTCTACACTAAGGAAAGCGTCTGATTTATCCTACAAAAAGAGTGGAAAGGCAAACCATGGCGCCGGGCATCGCCGGGCCACATGGTGGCTTCAAAGTGCAGACTCCCCACCTTTTGGGACCGTTTTCAAAAGAACCTTCTCGATTGGACCTCCGCAGACGTAAACGACCTGAACCTGACGAGAGGAATTTGGAAGACCGCCCTCTTTTTTTGCACCGTAGGCTCACGATGATTTGGACAAAGGGCACCGGCAAATGGCATCAAAGCAGATAGAGTGTAGCTCTTGGCGGTCTTCCTCCTTGGACCCTTGAACAATTCATATCTCCCAGACTGATCCTCCAAGTGCCCTCCCTGACGTAAGTGGGAGGCAGGATAACATGACAAAGGATGTGAGTGGGTCCTTTCCTTGAAAGCGACACCAAAATGGTCGCCCTCGCGGAACAAAAGGGCACCCTTTTTTGTTTGTGCACCCCAAAGCTTTGGGGTACAAGGACCCCTGGTCGAGGCGCATGTTGGTGGGAAACAAATGCCACGGCGGCTGCTTCTGGACGGTATTTTGCCCCACCTCCTCGGAGAGTCGAACATGCGCAGTCGCAAATTTTTGGCGTCGCGTTCAGAAACGACTGGGTGGCACGGTACCAACGCCGCATTTCCAGTTGCTCAGTGACCCGAACGCTAGAAAACCTGGAGCCCTCTTTGGGCTTGACAAAAAATGCTTGGCAGTGGGGAAGTCAAACAAAAAGGTGCCACTCACAAACTGGGACGATTTTGCCAGTGTCAAAGTCACCCCTGAGAATTTAGGGAACCAACCTCAGTGTCTGAACTTGAACCCCTCAGAAGCAGTGCGCTCAGCATCAGGGCTTAGAACTTCTGCGCGCCTTCCCGGGACCCTTCTTGTGTGGAAGGGCTGAAAGCCGAACAGAATGACGCTTGACAAGAAGCACGGCATCAATCTCCCACCAGCTAACATGGGACCAAACAGCGGCTTTTGAAAGGACCGGGTGAGTCTTTTTTGAGGGCACAGCTTGCAGAGTGGTTCTAAGGGAAAACAAAAGGGACGCCAAACATCTTTGGATGTCCCCTGTTTTAAGATACACACACTTTTTTTTTGGGGGGGGCATGAACAGAAATGAACAGAACAACAAAAAACAAAACAACACTTGCCAAGAACATTGAAGAGCTTACTTCCTGGATTGTTTGGCGGGTTGTTTGGCTAGTTAGTTGGCTGGCTGCCGAACAGGCCACCAGATCCATCCGAGAACAAAACCATCGCAGCACAAGGGCTGCGCCTCACCACCTACATGGAGCTGGCATGCCGAGCCCATTTGTGACATCACTCTTTCCGCGACTGGCCATGTGTCATATGAAACAACACAAATCACGTGTGTATCTATCATTGTGGCTTCTTTTACAGCCAACCTGCGACGGGTACCCTGAGAAGAAAAAAAAGCAGACCCGGCTCTGGCCCAGTCAGCGAATGAGTTCAAGCAGTGACCGACCCACTTGCCGCGGCACGGTCACGTTCTTTGCCCCCTCCTGGACATGCGCATTTCACAAGGAGTCCGGGAACCCCTGCAATGCCAGGTGTATCTCGAGCGATTTGCAGGCCCTACGCAATCTTCCTCAGAACTGGTTCCTTTTTTTACTTTTTTATTTTTTGGGGTTCCCTTTGTTTTCCACTATCCAGGCAAAAATCATGTTTTTGCTGGGGTCCTAAAGCAATGTGATGGCCGCACAGCTCCTTTCCATGTCATAACAGCCAGCGTGGGGTTCGGAGAAAAAAAAGTGACTCGCCAAACAGGGAAGACGGTCACTCAAGGTTAGAACTAGAACCTGGCAAGGAAACCAAACTCCAACTTGGGTCGCCCCACGGAAACAAGTCGCTAGCAGTCGATGAAGGGAGCTTAGGCCAGCCACCACTGAAATAGCTGGAAAAGAGTGACTTGGATACCCGCTTGAATTTCGGCATGGAACCCCAAAACAAATTCGTCTCCAAAGCAACCTCCTTTCCCTTTTTCAGGATGTCAGGTGAATCTACAGAAAAGAGCCGGAACAGCCACTAACATGGAACCCACCACGCAAGTGGATTCTCCAGTCAGGCATCCCGGATCTAAGTCTCGCTAGCCACATGGCCATGGTCAAAGCTGCTGGGCACAAGCAAACGGCATGTTAGTTTGCAAATAACAGATTCGCGGCTTGAACGTTACATCCCCCTTTTATCATCCTCCATTTGTTCAAGTCCCCTGTTGTTGTTTTGCATTTCTTGGGTTTTACATATTTCCAGTAGTGATAGATTGCATTTAAAATCAGGGGATAATGACACAAAATCATTTCAGCAACAGAACGCCCCCCCTTCTAAATGGTAAATCGGGCAAACAACAACAGGCTGCCTGGATTTCCCTAAATCAAAAGTTGATCACTTGATTGGTGGTTTGTCTTGAAACGATTGATTCCCACTTTTTGGAGAAAACCAAAGCGGGACCTTTCAGCATCCGCAGACACACAATGGAAGGCCCCAAGGACTGAATGACTCATCAGAACCTGGTACCCCCATTCCCCGTTTCCAGGGGAAAAGGCCGCAGGTGAACTCAAGAACTCCGAGGGTATTTGCCCAGTTCCGCTGTAGAAAATCCAGGCACAATAGATGCACACAAGGCAAAACATGTCCCCCCCTCCCTTATGAGCCCAATAGGGTTCTGGACTATTCTCCTGGGGTTGTTCAATCATGATTGGGGAGAACATCATTTGAGTCGCAATCAAAACCTGGTACAAAAATGGTCGAGCCAGAACCATGTAAAGAACTAAGAAGGCGAATATCCGCAGCTAATTATGGCTGGGATCATCCCTTACTAACCTTCATCTACCCATTTTCTGAGATACGAAATGGCTATGAATCCTGATTAGGGACCCTGGTATCAGAATCTGGTGGCGATTCCTGTCCACCACTTTGGAGGCGTGGCTCCCTATTCATAACCATATTCTCTCTTGTCCAAAGGACCCAGAAATAAAAGGTTAACCTTTTGGCATCTCCACGAAAAATGGACCGAAACGGGAAAACCCAAAGGTCAAAAGGTCGGCTTTGGGCAACTGAGTCTTGGATTCCCATCCCAATGACTACCTTTCTTAAGGAGGCTTCCTTACACATCACATAAAATGGCGCGCCCTAACCGGATTTCCCATTTCCCGGGCCCTGCCAAGGTGCCCCTTCCAGTGGTGTTTGTTTGTTTTACATCCCTGTGGCTAGATTAGAGTGAACCTTTTGGGCCGATATTTGAATTGGGAACTTGGGGAACCCTCGCGGCGACATCCGAACTTGGTGTAGGGACTCCTGAGTGGATTGGGCCAGACACAGTCAGAAATCGTCATTTACCACTAAGATAGTCTTCCCAAAAAGTATAAAGTCCAAGAACTCAGGAAGTGAGACAAGAACCAGGGCTTCACATACCCTGACCACCATTGAAACCATGAAGTAAGAGCCCCCGATCCTGAGCACCTGAAGGAAGAAAAGAAACAACCGGGGGAACCAAAAGCACAGCCAAAAAACAAAACTCAAGCAACACCACACAAGACCAACACACACACACACAACAAACACACACACACAACAAACACACACACACAACACAACACAACACAACACAACACAACACAACACAACACAACACACCACACACAAACACCAACAAAGAGCACCAACACGAAACGAAACAAACACGGGTTCACACACCGACACGAAAACAAAAATACAGAAAAACAAACAAAAACACATAAGAACAAGAAAGCAACAACAACAACAAACGAGAAAAGAAAGGTGGAAGACAAACGACCTCGCGGATGGCTCCTGAAAGATGCCCTGCACCTTGTCGCTGCCGCTCCGCGGCACCCGGGCCGTCATCAGCTGGAAGAAGACCACGCCCAGGCTGAAGATGTCCTCGGAGGACCCGAGGACCCGGCGCCAAGTAGTCGTCTGGGCGCTTTTTTGTTTTTTTTTTTGCTTGGTTTTTGTTTGGTTTAGGTGGAAACCAGAGAGGGAAACCAGGCAGTACTATGTTTTTCTTGGGGGGGTGTCCATCACTGGGTGTGTCTTTTTTGACGGAACCACAGGGAAACCAGCAATACTACAATACTATGTTGTCGTTCTTTGGGGGGGTCCATCCCAACTGAGTGCTTTTTTTTACGGGAAAACACAGAGGGAAACCAGGCAGTACTATGAATTTCTTTGCGGGGGTCGGGAAACCAGCAATGCTACAATACTATGTTGTTGTTCTTTGGGGGGGGGGGTCAATCCCAACTGGGTGCGTTTTTTGCTCTTATTTTTCATGGAAACCACAGGGAAACCAGCTTGTTTATCTTTGGGGGGGTCCATGCCAACTGGGTGGCTCGCCTTTTCTTGGAAACAACAAGGGACACACAGCTTTTTTGTTGTTGTTTCTTTGGGGGTCCATCCCAAATGGGTGCGTTTTTTTTCTTTTCCTTTCTGGAAACCACAGGGACACCAGCTTGTTTTTCCTTGGGGGGGTCCATCCCGACTGGGTGCGTCTTCTTTCTTTGTAAATGGAAACCACAGAGAGAAACCAGGCAGTGCTATGTTTTTCTTTGGGGGTGTCCATCCCTACTGGGTGCGTTTTATTGTTTGTTTGTTTTTTTTAATGGAAAACACAGAGGGAAACCAGGCAGTACTATGAATTTCTTTGGGGGGGGTCGGGAAACCAGCAATACTACAATTCTATGTTGTTGTTCTTTGGGGGGTCCATCCCAGCTGGGTGCGTTTTTTGTTCTTCTTCTTTTTAATAAAAACCAGCTTGTTTATCTTTAGGGGGGTCCATGCCAACTGGGTGGCTCGCCTTTTCTTGGAAACGACAAGGGACACACAGCTTTATTTCGTTGTTTCTTTGGGGGTCCATCCCAAATGGGTGTTTTTCTTTTTCTTTTCCTTTCTGGAAACCACAGGGAAACCAGCTTGTTTTTCCTTGGGGGGGTCCATCCCAACTGGGTGCGTCTTTTTTTCTTTGTAAATGGAAACCAGGGAGGGAAACCAGGCAGTACTATGTTTTTCTTTGGGGGTGTCCATCCCTACTGGGTGCGTTTTATTGTTTGTTTGTTTTTTTTTAATGGAAAACACAGAGGGAAACCAGGCAGTACTATGAATTTCTTTGGGGGGGGTCGGGAAACCAGCAATACTACAATTCTATGTTGTTGTTCTTTGGGGGTCCATCCCAGCTGGGTGCGTTTTTTGTTCTTCTTCTTTTTAATAATAACCAGCTTTGTTTATCTGCGTCTTGTCACAAGCCAACTGGTGCTCCAAATGTGAGGATTTCTTGAAACGACCAAGGGGGTATGCAACAAAATTTCGTTGTTTCTTTGGGGGTCCATCCCAAATGGGTGTTTTTCTTTTTCTTTTCCTCTGGAATTCCACAGGGACAACCAGCTGTTGTTTTTCCTTGGGGGGTCCCATCCTCGGTTCGGTGCGCTCTTTTTTCTTTGGTGATGGAAACCAAGGGAGGGAAATCCCAGGCAGTACAAAGTTTTTCTTTGGGGGTGTCCCATCCCACTGGGTGCGTTTTATTGTTTGTTGTTTTTTTTTTAAATGGAAAACACAGAGGGAAAACAGGCAGTACTATGAATTTCGTTTGGGGGGGTCGGAAGACCCACAATACTACAATTCTATGTTGTTGTTCATTGGGGGGGTCCATCTCCCAGCTGGGTGCGTTTTTTTTTGTTCTTCTTCTTTTTAATAAAAACCAGCTTGTTTATCTTTAGGGGGGTCCATGCCAACTGGGTGGCTCGCCTTTTCTTGGAAACGACAAGGGACACACAGCTTTATTTCGTTGTTTCTTTGGGGGTCCATCCCAAATGGGTGTTTTTCTTTTTCTTTTCCTTTCTGGAAACCACAGGGAAACCAGCTTGTTTTTCCTTGGGGGGGTCCATCCCAACTGGGTGCGTCTTTTTTTCTTTGTAAATGGAAACCAGAGAGGGAAACCAGGCAGTACTATGTTTTTCTTTGGGGGTGTCCATCCCTACTGGGTGCGTTTTATTGTTTGTTTGTTTTTTTTAATGGAAAACACAGAGGGAAACCAGGCAGTACTATGAATTTCTTTGGGGGGGGTCGGGAAACCAGCAATACTACAATTCTATGTTGTTGTTCTTTGGGGGGTCCATCCCAGCTGGGTGCGTTTTTTGTTCTTCTTCTTTTTAATAAAAACCAGCTTGTTTATCTTTAGGGGGGTCCATGCCAACTGGGTGGCTCGCCTTTTCTTGGAAACGACAAGGGACACACAGCTTTATTTCGTTGTTTCTTTGGGGGTCCATCCCAAATGGGTGTTTTTCTTTTTCTTTTCCTTTCTGGAAACCACAGGGAAACCAGCTTGTTTTTCCTTGGGGGGGTCCATCCCAACTGGGTGCGTCTTTTTTTCTTTGTAAATGGAAACCAGAGAGGGAAACCAGGCAGTACTATGTTTTTCTTTGGGGGTGTCCATCCCTACTGGGTGCGTTTTATTGTTTGTTTGTTTTTTTTAATGGAAAACACAGAGGGAAACCAGGCAGTACTATGAATTTCTTTGGGGGGGGTCGGGAAACCAGCAATACTACAATTCTATGTTGTTGTTCTTTGGGGGGTCCATCCCAGCTGGGTGCGTTTTTTGTTCTTCTTCTTTTTAATAAAACCAGCTTGTTTATCTTTAGGGGGGTCCATGCCAACTGGGTGGCTCGCCTTTTCTTGGAAACGACAAGGGACACACAGCTTTATTTCGTTGTTTCTTTGGGGGTCCATCCCAAATGGGTGTTTTTCTTTTTCTTTTCCTTTCTGGAAACCACAGGGAAACCAGCTTGTTTTTCCTTGGGGGGGTCCATCCCAACTGGGTGCGTCTTTTTTTCTTTGTAAATGGAAACCACAGAGAGAAACCAGGCAGTACTATGTTTTTCTTGGGGGGGGGTGGGGCCTTCCCAACTGGGTGTGGTTCTTTGGGAGGAACCCCTTTTTGCTTGGGGCGTCCCCTGACAAAAAGACTCACCCAACTGCGGAGTTGATTGTGTCCCGCGGTTCTAGCCGTACCTTGCATGTCCATTCTCATGGATCCTCAAAAAATGGGCGAGTCTCGGGGAATCAACCCCTGCAGCATCTCACTTCCGATCGAGTGGCTTGGTCAGACCAAAATCCAGCCTGGTTGCTTCCCACTAAGATCTTCACAACCCCAGAAATAGATGAACTTCCATGAACTCGGGGAGTGAGACTCGGTGGAATGCTTGGTCGGGCCCATTCTATCGACCAGCAAGCAAAAAGGCCGGGGCTCCCCCTGCGGCTGCCAGCGATGCTTCCGCCAGGTCTCAGGGGGAATGTAGCCTGTGCCAGACGTCCGCTAAAGCGGCTACTCGTGGAAGCTGACACGAGGATTTTGGAAGACGCCCCTCCCCGTAAGGCCCCCTGTGCACGTCCATTCACTTCCGTTCAGCCACCATGTCTTGGTTGCTGGCGACACCCCTCTGCAACAAGT